GTTCCTGAAAATTGAATGCTCTAACAAATTATTTTTGTATATTTAAATATTATGTATTACTTTACATTTAAATATTTTTCCAAAAATTTTTTTGTTTTAAACAATTCAGATGGAGAAAAAATTGTTTCAAAATTATTTTATATAGTCAACCCGAGTGTATATGTATGTATATGTATATTTAAACTTTGCTCAGTTTTAATTAAAAACAACAAGTAATTGAAAATAGCTTATATTTTATATAGATTTTATCTGTCGAGGACTTTGGTGTATATAAAGGTGGTTGTCATTACCTTACTTTGAACTTGACATTACGATTAATTTAATGTTGTTGTTGACGCTGCTGTTGCTGCTGACGGTGTTGTTGTTGTAGTCATTGCATGACTTCAAACACTTTGCAAAACTATTGCGCGCATTATGCATGAAATTCAATTACAAGTTTTGCCATTTTAAATTAAATTTCAATTTTGTAGTCTTGAACTGGCCTAATTAACTTAAACTGCAACTTATTTTAAGAGTAACGTAATATCGTTTTTAAATGCGTCATAAACTCCTCTACAGTGGCGATTGAGCAGTAATATATTTATGTTTTTATTTATTTATTTATTTATTTTATTTTTTTTTATTTTATTTATTTTTTTTGTTTGAATATTTTTTTACATCTTGTAAATTAGTCATTATTGAATGTTTAATATTTTCGTTCATAATCATAAATTATAGCATACTTTGAGCTGCATTCAGATACGTTAACGTAACGTGCTTTGCGCCATTTTATTGTCGTTGACCCAAGTTTGTAACGTTATTTCCTTTCATATCTTACGTTATGTTTAGTATTTTTAGTATTTACGGAAACTTTGAAGCTCAATTTACGGATTTTGGCGTTAACGCAAACGGTCACTCAGATCAATTTTAGCACTAGTTGGTATTGCTCGAACGTTCATTAAAACCGTTGAAAATATCAAATAAAAACTGTGTATCTTATAACAATTAAAAGTTAATTGTGCAGTTGAGAGTGCATATTAACGCCAGCAAAATGTATTTTTTGGCAGTGCTTGCGTTTATTGGAAATGCCAAAGGTAAAAGAATTTAGTGAAAACTGAAAAACTTTATACACACACAACCATAAAGCCACCATATCCTTGCTGTACTAAAGAGAGTAAAACAGTGAAAATTTATTTTTTTTCCTTATGAGAGTAGGCTTTATGGTTAAATAAAATAGTTTCCAATGTGCATAAAGATAAGGACCTCAAGTAAAAATGTTTTTTATTTTTTTCATTCTAAAATCAATTCCAATTTTTGTTCTCTATCTACAATAACTGTAATATGGTCCATGGCCACAGCAGAGTTTCACAATTTATGGGACACGGGGCACACATACACATACACACACACACTTGCGCTGCGCTCATTTTCTCAGCCAGCCAGCAAGCAGGCAGCAACTCCTGCGAAAAGGGGGCATAACGCCTTACCACTGGGCGCTGTGAAGGAAGTGGCGTGCAAAATTGTGCGTTAGTGCTGCCCATTCCGCTCTTACTTTCTGCTTCGCTCTCTCTCACTCTCCTTTTCTCTCGCTTGCTCTCTGTTCAATGTGTATGTATGTTTGTGGGTGGTCGTTCTTTTTTGCATGTATGTATACTTTGCCATGTGTTTGGGTGTGTGCGAATGAGCTGGACTTGGTGGGTGTGCGTGTGTGTGAGTATGTATATGTAGGTGTATGTGTATCTCTATTGCAAAAATTTCACTTGGAAACTCGCACTGAGAGGCAGCAATTTTTTTCTTTGCGCGGGGGCGTAAAGCGCGCTGTTTGCCATTTTCGTTCGTGTGTTTCCTGCCCAGCCGTTCGCACTCGTGTTTTGTCGTTCGTGCTAACTGTGTTAGTGCATGTTATTGCAGCCCCTTTTCCACTTTCCTGCTACCAGAGGACGTTTGCTGGATATATTTGTTTTTAATTTGAATTTCCTTTTGCTGTTTAGCATTTAAATTATGTTGAAAATGTAATGCGTTTGCATTTAATTTCATTCAAGTGATAAATGTTATGCCCATGTACATGCACACACTCATACACTTGTATATGCATATACATATATGTATATATATATATATAGATATATCTATGTTTCTCTGGGTCGATTGGTGAGGGGCTAAGGGTGTACAGCACCTGCTGCATTTTCAATACGCCAGTGCAGATGTATGTATGTGTGTGTGATGAGAGAATGCTGGACGAAAAACGGTAACTGCTAAATTAGTAGCAAAGCGAAACTTGGTCAAGTGTGTCAAAATAAAGAATCGTACAGTTGTTCGGAAACTTATACATACATAACTATGTTTGTAGGTAAAATCATGTACATACATGTTTATATAGAAGTCCCATTAAATGTCTCAGTTATTATTTCATTAAAACTTTTAGCTAGCATTAAATACAATATGATAAAAGTTTTTATTTTACTTGAACTTTGATTCCATTTCGGTATTAAATTTAATAATTTTGTATAATGAAAATAATAGAGCCAACATATTTATTAATATTAATCAGATTCAAAGATAATATGTTTGAAGATTATATAAATTATATTCTAATTTCAAACTGTACATTATTTGAGCATATTATTTGATAATAATATTTATATTATAGCATTTAATAACATATGGAAATACTTATTAATTATTTAATATTTTAGTATTTAGTTGCATATACACATCGTTAAAACTATAATGCCTAATGTTTTTCTCGTCCTTGACACATTAGATAGCAACGCTGTGAGCTCCAGCCTCATTCAGGGTGGTCACTGCCGCGATTACAATGGCAAACTGTATGAGACTGGCATGCATTACATGCCCGGGCCGGACTCCTGTCGACTCTGCATCTGCGACAGCGGATTGCCCAAGGCGTGTAAAATGGTGCTGTGCGAGGCCTTCAGCAAGTGCAAGTCCTTTCAAACTGTGGGCAGTGGCAACAACTGCTGCGAGGTCATCTGCCTCGATGATCAATTCAGCGATGGCAGCACCGACTTTGGCATTTGACTGGTGGCCAGTGGCATTACGGCCACGCTTTCCCTATCCTTGCTCTTCTTCTTGGTCAATCGATTGCGACAGCGCAAGATGCGAGCACGCGAGAATCGCCAGAACGCGGAGGATCAGCGCAGTATTGTGGGCAGCATTGGGTGAGTTTCCAAAAGCTAAGAAGTCCTTATTCTGTTTACTAATTCAACGCAATCAATTTTGCAGTTATATTGCCGGCAACATGGGCTACATGGAGGGTAATCTGAGTGCTATGGACTATTCGTATGGCGCAGCTACCACTCATTATCCACTTTGGAAGCCACCAAGCGGCTATTTTCCGCGAGGCGAAGCACCGCCGCCCTACGAGGAGGCCGTCGCAATATCCCAGGCGGAGGCATTAAGCGCTCAGTGCACCGTAACGCTGCCCAGCCATGTGCAGCGCCAGGCTGTGGCCAGTGTCAGTCAGCAACAGCAGCAGCAGCAATTGCAACAACAGCAGCAACTGCAACAGCAGCACCTGCAGCAGCATACGCTACAGCTGCACACCCAGCCACAACAACACACACATCCCCATGCATACGCACAACAGCTGGTGCCCGTGACTGCAGCGCATCCGCATGCGCATCAACTGAGTGCTGCGGCCGCTGCTGCAGCTGCCGCACAATCCAATCAGTATACGCAGAGCACTACGAATCTGATTAATATAAATATCAATAGCGGCGGAGTAACCACAATTGCCACTGGCGAGAATCACCAACCTCCTTACAGCTTGCAAAATGAACAGCAGCAACAGCAGCAACATCAACAACAGCAACACCAGCAACAGCAGCAGCAGCAATTGCAGCAACAGCAACAGCAGCAGCATAATCTGGAGCAACAGCACCAGCAGCAGCTACAACAGCTCTCTACACCGACGCCCAGCAATTCGATCTGTGTGCAAACTCTGCCCGCTCCCAAGCCCAGTGTCAATAACGAGTGCAGCTATAAGAATTGTCATCTCAATATAAGCGCTAGTGTAACAACCGCAGCGGCTACTGCTGCTGGCAGCGCCTCTAGCTCGCTGGCCTATGCAGCAGCACGGCGAACGCCACGCGGCTCGCAGGAACTGTTGCAACAGCAGCCGCAGCAACAGCAGCAGCAATATCTGACTGTAGCCGATGTGGAGATTAATGCGAGCGCCAGTGCAGCTAGTTATCATTCACTGCCAGCCACGACTGACATGCTGGTCACGCCCACACACCACCTGTCACAGCAGCAGCAGCAGCAACAACACCATCAGCAGCAACAACAGCACCAGCAGCAGCAATTGCTTGCAGCAGCCTTGTCCACGACTACCATAGACATGCTGCCAGCCATGGATATAGCGACGATAACAACGCCGCCCACATGCAGCAGCAGTACAGCAGATTCTGTCACACAAACGCTGCCCTTACCGCTGCCGCTGCATGCTGCTCTCAARTCACAGCAGCAACAACAACAACAGCAGCAGCAGCAACAGCACGGAAGCAAGACACCCTCTAGCTCGCGTCGCTATCATCGCACCATTCCGCGCTACTTTGCTGTGGCCGATCCGCTGCAGGTGGTTAGTGTCAAGCCAAAGTCCAGCATCAGCACCAACACCAGCTCCAGCTCCAGCTCCACCACAGACAAGGCAAGCAAGAAGCCCATGTGCCAGTGCCCCATACAGCATGTGCCCATGTCCTACATGGGCAGCAATGCCAATGCCAACGCAAATGCATTCCTTAGCGGCGCTGGCAAGCTCTTCGCATCCAATGGCAGCAATGCCTGCGCCCTCTCGCCCAGCTCCAGCACACGACATGCCGCGACGTTGGCGTATGGTCAGCGCGCCAAGTCCACAACTAATCTGCAGCTGCATCAGCAGCAGGGACAGGATCTGCTTGGCAGCCGCAGTGCGTGCGCCTATGACACAAAGATTGCAACCATTTCGAAGCAGGTGGGCGACGAGCTGCAGATGCAGCCACATCCATCGCACGGCTCGAGCAGTGTCTCTGCCATAATACCACCGCCGCCGTTGCAGCATCACGACGATGTCAGCGCTCCACCCATTGTGTTGGGTCGCGTGCAAAAGCGTTCCAGCAGCTCGAGCAGCGCTGCCGAACGTGCTCGCAGCAGCAGCGGCGGACGCAGTGCGTCCAGCAGCGGATCAGCAGCTGCTGCCCAATCCGGCGTCGATATGCTCTCCAGCGCCTATTTGAATCGAAAGGTGAGTTCGAAATGTAAGTAATCCCATTGTGAATACTGAACTTTGGATACTCGATAGATTTCACCCTAGAATGTACACATATGTATAAGGAATTGGAACAAAGTTGTTCATCTAATTGCATAATGCATATAGATTTGAAGAACAGTTTTAAGCCCAATGCATACATACATATGTACACATATTCTAATATCTAAAATACGGGCAAATGAAACCGAATTAATTGAAATGTATATTAAATATATTAATTATTATTTGCATTAATATTACATACATATGATTAAGAGACTGAATTCTCTATGTTTTTAATCTTTTATTTTCTTCTTCTTCTTCTTCTTTTTTACTTATTTTTGATGAACGAATGCACTCTTTCCGTTTAGGTTCGTTCGTGTTCAGAGTTTCTGTTAGAGTGCTATATATGTAAATACATATATTCCAATCAATAAATCCAATAGCCAATAATAATAGTTCTTTTCGATTGCATACTTTACATATTTATTTATTATTTTTCTTAGTTTTTTTTCGGTTTCATTCTCCGTAAAAATTTATATATTTTTGTGACATTTTGCTGATCGCGTTAGCTATCTTTACAGGTTGATGCATACTTGAGTTTGACGCAGAAACAGCAGCAACATTTCTATAACCAGCAAGAACAGCAGCAGCAGCAGCAGAAGCAGCAACAACAGCACAACAACGATCAAAGCAATCCAACTTTACCACCGAAACTCAACAAAAGCCTAACGAATTTAAAAGCCGTAACAACCACTGCCACCAGCAGCTGCAGTACGAACAGCAACAGCAGCAACACCATCAACAGCAACAGCAACAACAGCAGCAGTAGCTGCAGCAGCAACAGTAGCAGTGGAGGCAACAACAACAATGCTGTGGCCACCATTTACACCCTTAGCAAGTCGACGGGCAGCAGCGTACATCAACGGAAGGAGCAGGCGCCAACATTGACGCTGCCGCCGAACAGCCCCTCGTCCAGCTGCGGTGAGAAGTCGAGCGGCAAAATCAATTCGAGCACGTTTTATCCGCTGGCCAACAATCATGTCACCTACACGCTGCCCAAGCACATTAGCGGCAAAATCTCGCTGAACAGCACCATCAACAGCGTGGTCAGCAAGGTGCCCTCGGTGATCAGCATACCCCCATTAGAGAACAACAATGAGAAAGCAACGGTGAGCAGCAAGAGCACCACATTGCCCAAAATACTTCGTGTGAAACGGGATGGCGAACGAAACACAGCATCGACCTCTGCATCAACAGCAGCAGCAACAGCAACAACAACAGGAGCAGCAGCACCAGCATCAGCGCCAGCAGCAGCAGCAGGATCAACAACCAATAGCAAATCCATTGCCCATTGCCAAATGCCCAGCTATCCGCAGCTGGTGGCCAAGGTGCAGGGCGGGCGCGGTGGCACGCCTAGCAAGCAGCTGCCTGTGTGCACCACATCGAAGAACTGCTTGAATCCTAACGAGCATTTCCTGCCCAACGATACCAGCCTGGACGACGACTATCTAAGCGAATGCGAGAACTGCAAAATCGCACAGAGTGCCAAATACTATCTAGACGCCGAGATGAGCGGAGGCAGTGGAGCCGGCGCCCTAACACCACAGGAAACTATGACTCTGCAGCGCAAATCGCTGGAGGAGACCAAAGAGGAGCCGCACGACAGTTACTACCGCAGCTCGCACACTCTGCCAAGCAATGCCAAAAAGCATGGGTATGAATTTACTTTGATATAGAAATCTATACATATCAATCGAATAATCTTCATATATGTATGTCTATATATTCCATATAGTGTCAGCAAAAACAACAATCGCGAGGCGTGGCAGTTCTCAACAATCCCTGCGGCCAGCTCGTCGGATGAGGATGTCAACGAATGAGATTTGAGCCATTTTCTTTAAGATGCCACACCCACACCCAAATGCCAAAACAAAAAGTGCATCCTAAAGAAAAGGCAGGCTTCTACTTCTGTACCCAACTCACAACCCCAATGGCATATACTAATTATATAACTACATAGATAAAAACCTGATTAAAATCTTGAATATATTTGTAAAAAACTATGTGCTAAATTTAGGTGTATATTTATAATATATGTACTTGCAAATTGCTCAAAGATATTTATATATTTATGTAGCTATGATAACCAACATTGGCATGTAAAATTGCTTGATTCTGCACAAATATATGTATATTTGTAATTATGTAAGTAATTCAAATTGTATTATAAGAGCGTTGCAAACATTATTCAAATCGTTAGAGAAAATGTCAAAATTGTTAAAGATTATATAGTTTGTTAGGAAGGAAAACAAAAACAGAATACAATTATAATACACTGAAGCAAACTAAGTAGAAAGACTTTAAGCAAAAAGTTGAAATTACAATTTTTCGATTTATACTATAGTCGATCCATATAAATATATAGTATGTATTGCTTGTTTTATATGTGTATATATATGTAGAACAAATAATGATTAGTCGGGATCGAAATTGAAAGAAAACAAACTCCAATTTGCCAATGATAACTGTCAATAAATTGTATTATGTATGTACTATATATATATAAACATGCTCTGTATGTTGTATGTAAGCTGACCAAATTTGCGGGTCGTATCCCCAGCTAAAACCAAAGCTCACACACAGAAATAGTATCAAGAAATAAGCATTCATAAATACAAAATACACTCACGCTCACAGTCACCCATTTTAAGAATGTAAATGTTAACTATCTAAGAGAGCTGAAGCTGAATAACTAATTGAAGAAAGGCGATTGAATTGTATGTGTGTTGTATGTTAAGTATACGCATGGATATCCAACAGCACTTTAAGGTGTTCAATGTAAGTAAACTTAAACAAAAAACAAAAATAAATTAAAATAAAGAAAAAAAAGATATATATATATTAGATTGATTTCTTGCTTAGGAAATATTGATTGTACTTGTTATATGTATGTATTAAATAGTATTCTTCTAATTGTGTTATACAATTATATTGAATATTATTTAATTGAAATGTCTATTGATAGTACGACACAGACTTATGACAAATATTTAAAACAAACTGAAAAAAAGAAAAAAAAAATGGACAGTGAGTCCAGCATTTTTATCTTATAAGCAACGCATACATATTCAAATAAAACGAAAGAGTATGTTCTTTATAATTTGATTCCTTAAGCAACGCACCAAGCAGCAGTTTAGGCTCGAAGCTGTTGCTTGGCTAGCATATGATTAGATAAAGAAGTTTTTTTATATAAATAAAATAAAGAACTGAAATGTTTTGGAATTAGCCAAAACTTCAGGTAGTTAAGACCATAGGAATGCTAGCATCAAAGTTCGACTATTATTTAAATTAAATTTTCTTAAAATTATTGCTAATTTATATAAAGCACATTTTGTGGCAGTTTTGGTTAAAATTATTTTGGTTATCTACGAGCTTAGATCTCAAAAGTTATATGGAATATGGAGAAATTCTCCAGGTGCATTCCAAATTACTGAATCTCTGACTTAATATCGCTCAAACTCTTAGATATGAATTCTCAATATGAGTTATTTATAAATGTGTTCAACGAAACTAATGCAACAAATGAAAGAAAATTTCTGTTGTCAAATACTTAAATGCGTATTTGAAATAAGTATTATAATAATTACAAATTACTCAATCTCAATAGTCTTAAATTAAACAACGTTTCCAGCAATTAAATAACAAAACACAACGTATGTATGTGAATCGCGACTAAGTACGAATTTTTATTAATTAAGCTAATTAATATCGAAATAATTTCAGTAAACCAATACGAAAAAAATAATAATGAGAAAAAAAAAAACAAAAACAAAATTAAAAACAAATACAAATAAACATACCATACATAGTAGTTTACAATTACATTAGTGAGCGCTAGATAAACGAATCAAGTGCGATACATAAATTAAAAAATGTTTCAAAATATGTAATTTACCAAATACTAAAAATAAATCATGTTTCAAAAACGATAATGTGAAAATTGTAATAATATGCTTAAACAAATAAATGGATCTATAATGAAAATTTCATGAATTGTTGCTAGCTTGAACTAAAAACCATTTATGGCTTATGGTTCTCCACCTCACTCCACTCCCAGATATGTAAAACAACCATATATTGTAGTTGGAATTGTAAAAATGCATACAGTTTTTTACTTGGTTTTTTTTATGTTTGTTTTTGTATTTAAATCATAAAAACAATTTTACGATGTATCAGATTTGTTTTGTTTTTATATAATATGTATATGGTATAACCTATTAGTTTCTTGTAATGCTTGGATTTGCTATACATGCATAACATATCTCAGCAAAAATCGTTTATATACATACAAAATTCAATAATTTAGGGTATGTATGCATCAATTTTCAGTAGTACTTTTGTTTTTATTTCGTATTTTGTTTTTGTTTGTTTTTGCTATCAACGGACGTGAAGAAGGAGGAGGACGACGACGCAGGATTTATAGATGAAGAGACGGTGCAGCAAAATTAGCGAATTGGCCAAACGACAGAATCATTTGTGATCTCTCACACACACACGCACTTGAAACGCTTAAATTGTATATGAATTCAGAGCGGGTCTGGATGCTGATCCATTTACTTCTTCGTTGGCTGACTATCCAATACGGGCGTAATTGTTTTGCCGCCGAAGATCTGTCCCCAGCCAATCAAACTGAAAGCAATAGAAATATTTCATTTACATAAATGCTCAGTAAGTTTTCTCAAGTTTCTTTTGTACTCACCGCCAATGGTTTTCTACGCGTCTACTGAGCGCAATCTTCTCGCCCTTCTCCGTGCACACGGGCGTTGTGAGCACAATCTTGGCCAGATCACCCTTGGTAGCGGAAATGCGGCCACCGGTGCTGAGCGATCCGATGTTGACCAGCAAAATTTCATTGCGCTGCAGCTTTTCGACACGTGCGCCCTTCTTGTCACCATCGGTGCGCACGCCGAGCAGTCGACGCAGAAGGTAATATGAAATTTCCAGCTCTATGTAAATGTCCGGCAAGTTACCAACGGCGCCGAGCACCTGGCCGACTAGACGATCGGCACGGCAGAGCGTGGGATCAATTTTGGTGCCCACACCGATCAGGCCACCGGGCACTGCGTACTGCAACTCATTTTGTTCGGCAAACAGCGAAACGATGCGCGAGAAGATTGGACGGCAAGTGATATTGCCATCGCTGTCCTTGGTGACAACACCGGGACGCACCTCGATTTCTTGTCCAACCTTGAGCACACCGCTCAGTATGGAGCCACCGGCCACGCCGCCCTTGAGATCCTGCACCTCACAGCCAGGTTTGTTGACATCAAAGGATCGTATAACAATTAAACGGGGCGGCGCCTTGAAGTCACGCTGCGGCACGGGAATCTTGTTAACAATATACTCGCAGAGCACATCAATGTTGTACTTCAGCTGGGCCGAAATTGGAATAATCGGTGCACCCTCGGCGACAGTGCCCTGCACAAACTTTGTGATCTCCTCATATTGCTCCTTGGCTTGGCTTTCCTTAACCAAATCAATTTTATTTTGCAATATCAAAATCTGTTTCAGTTTCATAATTTCAATGGCAGCCAAATGCTCAGAGGTTTGTGGCTGTGGACACGACTCGTTACCTTGAAGCAAAAAGAAAGCATCAGCAAATGTGCAATAGTTTTAATTATAATGCCTTACCAGCGATAAGCAGCAGTGCAGCATCCATAACAGCGGCGCCGTTCAACATCGTTGCCATAAGAATGTCGTGACCGGGGCAATCAACAAAGCTCACATGACGCACCAGTCTAAAGCGACCGGAACAGGCGAGACGCGCGCATGGCATGCTGTCATCCTTGCTAGATCCATCCGATACGAAGCTGGCCGGACGCGGGCACTTGGGATTATCGCACTTGTAGATTTTTGCATTGGCATATCCTGTGGACAAATGAATCCAAATGGAAAAATGATGAGTGAGCAAAACAAAATCTGCTTTATGGATGCTATGCTTATTGTGGATGCTATATTATGATCTATATTATATTTTTGTTCTGTTTTGAAGACCTGTAGTACGAAAAACTGTGGTTAAATATTTGTACGATTTTTTATTTTGTATTTTTTAGTAGCATTAAATTAAAACCTTACTTTATGAGCATTTAACAATCTTAAAATGCATTATATATTTTCAGAAAAGAAAATCATTCTAGTGCAGAATTCGCACATCAATTTAACTTAAAAGTAGATTAAAAATATTGTTTATATTTTAATATATACTTCTTAAACTTGAAAACAGTTTTTCTCTTGTAATGTGTGCGCAGAAGTTTCAAAAATACAATATTAACAATAAATAATTTTAAACAGACAACTTAAAACAGTTTTGTCAATTATTTTTCGAGTGCCGACGTCAATGAACTGTGGAATAGCTTCGTATTCTTATAAATTATTGCATATTTTAATAGGTAGGTTAAAAGTAATTTGAACCAAATTGGAGAATGTGGAATCTAGAATAGGACTTTTCGGCAATTAGGGGCACCACAGCGGCATTCGACGCGCGCAGCCGTCGATAGATTCTCATAGGGCACAGCCTCATTGTCAGCGCGTATATAGTCGAAGCTCAGCTCCTCACCGGCCTTAATATACCGGGTTGTGAAGAATACTAGATGCGGCAGCGCCATGTTCAGGTGTTCAATCCAGCAGGGGAATACCGCCAAATTGGGATCACAGGAGTGATTGATGAAGTGCGAGACATTGCCATAGTTAGCCGCATCGATGGTGAACTCGCTCTCTGCGGCCGTATTATAGTCCAGATCGAACAAGTACGTTCGCCCCTTGTCGTCATAGGCCTTGCCACGCTCATTGGCTTCGTCGCTGGAAATAATCTCTCCCACATACTCACAAACGAATTCGCCTTTACGCAGCGAGTTCGGCGTGCGTACACCCCAGCCTCGACCGTTACTGGTCTTGAAGAGCTCCAGCGGATGCTTGCGTCCAAATTGTACGAGGCGATTTGTGCAGCTGTCGTCGCAGCTACAACGGCTATTGCATTCAAAAATGGCACTTCCCTGGGGCAG